TGTTTTTTCCACAGTTGAAGTTCTTGTTTAATTAGAGTGAAAAAGAGTTCTGTTACAGACATTACATGCAGTTTTATGTAATGTTGATAACGAAATGTGGCAAAACCAAAAGAGAGGAATACCGGTAGGTGAATTAGACCTGAACCTGATTTAGATAAATTTAACTGCTCTGACAATCTTAATTAGCAGGAGTCCATTAACAAAGAAAAATATTCAATTTCCCACTTTAGTTGTTCTTGCTTAATTGGAGTGAAAAACAATTCTGTTACAGACATTACGGACAGGCTGAGCTTTATGTCTGTAACAAAAAGTGGCTAAGCCAAAAAAGAAATAAGCTTAGATCTGAACCTGATTTAGATAAAATTAACAGTTCTTACAATCTAATATACATGTATCTGTAATAACCAGGAGTCCACAAATAAACAAAAATATTCACTAAACCCTGTCTTTGAAAAGTATGTTTCACAGTGTAATGTCTGCAACAGCAACTTTTTACCCACAGCTCATAACCTAGCAACAGAATAAGGGTCAAACAACTAGATTTTATAAAACTATGAAGCAGCCATGTTCTAATTATTATAATAATAATAATAGAATTTATGTCTCACATGTTGATTCACAGGAATAGCACTGTCAACTGCAACATTTACACATAAAATTGGAGGTTGATTTTTTTGTAATGTCCGTAACGGAGTTTAAAACAAAGATATTGACAGCTTTTAAGAATGAAATCAAAGTTTTTGTTGATAGTCAAGTACCATGTGATGAATATTTGTATGAATTTTAAACAAAAACTACCAAAGAGAAGTATGTTAAAAGAAGTTTTATTTCCAAAAATTTGCCCTGGGAATGTAATGTAACCTGGAATTGCCCATAATTACTTGTTTCATCCATGGCACATGTGCCAGTGATCCATCTACTCGCACGCCCCTCGTCTCTGATGCGAAAAATGTCTGGAAAGACTCATACATGTAACTGACTGCCGAGTGGGTCCATCTGGGACTTCTCCAAAATTATTTTAGAAAAAGAGAGAAAAACTCTTTGAACAGATGGAACGTCAACACACTTGTTGTGTATGGTAGGCTAGGTTGGCAAGCTGTTAGCCTCAGTACTAGGGTGCACGCTAGCTTAGTTATGATGTATATACAAGGAAAAACAACTTTCAAAATAAAAGGTTATTTTTGTTCTTGTGGTACGCTGTTGCATTAGTTTACTTGTTGAAACAAAACTGAGCAGCTTGTGTCAGACTATAATTTGAAATGGTTGTGATATGTGTCTCTTTATGCTCCATTTAGGGGCAACCAAGATGCTTATGATACAAACAAGATGGCAGAAGAATTTACACATTTCTTTCTTGACCAAGCGTTCTCTGTTGGACAGCAGGTACAGGAGTTCTGTAAAAAAATATCAACATCCACAACATCACTTTTGTGGTGTGATGGACGTTACAGTGATAAATTTAAGTACATGTCAGTATTACACCTGCTTAATCTTTCACTTTGAATTTTTTCAACAAGGTATACACAAAGATCAGAGCCATCGCCTTGTGTGCCACTTTTTTGTTCTTACCACATTTTGACGTCGTCTGTGATCTATTACTGAACTGATGCACAGCACCATAGAATCTATTAATTTTGTTAATCAGTAAACCCTATAAAGTCTCTATGACACTCAGACAAACAGATTTCAATTGTAAGTTGTTTAAACTGTGTATAATTTGTTTGATTTGATGAAACAGGCTGTGTTTAGTTTTCAAGACAAGAAATATCTCATTCTCACTGTAAAGAGTATGGAAGGTGAGTGTTGGCCAACATGAAACTGGCAGATCTCATTAAACTTTTTAATAAAGTCAATCGATATATTAATGTTCGTAGGGTGTAAAGGAAACTTCGCTTGCCATTGATTGTGCAAGAATCGGTAGAATCCTAGCAGTAGCCTAACTGCAAAATCCTCTCCCCCCAGACTACATGTAGACACAACTTTCTTTGCACATTGTAATAAATTGTTGATAATTATTATTATTGACTTGCTCAAATATTATCAGGCTCAATTACCAGCCACTTTTTGGAGAAAGAGCGATTTTCCAAGCTTGGGGACTGGACCCAATAGAGTGGCGGAAATCGAGCCTAACTTAATTATAGTTATTTCTTCTAATAATAATTTTACTACATGTACTTCATTCTGTCAACTATTAAAGGTAAAGAAGAGACCTTTAATAGAAAGACTCTAAATTTCTGATTTCAAGATCTTTACATATTCAAGGTTAGAATGTAATGTTAAAACCACATCTGAAGAATTTTTGGTTTACTTGAGAATATGTCACTTGTCAGGTGTCAGGTTGTCCAAATCTTGAAAGGTACATTGTAAAACTCAAAAGTCATGGTTTTCAATCAACTGTCCATCAAATGCCTCCGATCATACTGAAAATAAACCGCAAATGTTATAATGGACCATTCTCTCTATTAAATGTGCCCAGAGAGAATTATGGTTACTTAGTGGTATTCATCAAAACAAATATCCGGTCCAAGATGATGAATACAACTAACATGATTCTCTGCAGGCACATCTCAAGGGGAATTGCCTGTTACATTTACATGTACAGTGTATGTGTATTGTAAAAATATATACACTGTACATCTCACTGCACCTGTACAGGTACAAGCTTACTGGCTTATAAGTCATGTACTGAGAAGGTGGGTACTCATTGCCGCACACCATAAAATCCCATGTTAAAACCCTGGGCCTATTTCTCGAAAGTTCCGAGAAGTTTTCGCACCTGAAAAGCTGTAGCAGAACCTCAAACCTTATCACTACAGAGCTGATTTATGCACACATTCTTAATATGAGCAGAGGTTCTCTTCATACAAGAAGTTTCAGCCGTATACACCCCTCGGTCTTTACGTGTAAGTACCAATTAACTAAAAATGGCTTTACAGGCACGATAAGTTTCCGGGGCTTCTGAGAAACAGGCCCCAGGTCTTGTGAGGGGGTGGGGGAGGGGTGGGGGGCATATAAGTGGAAAAAAAAGGTTCATAAGGATGAGATAAAACGTTTCTGAGAAATGAATTAAAGGTACATGTAACATACCATAACATTAGAGCTATTACATTCTATGATACATTTATGGCACTTACATGTATACATTAGATGGGCTTATACCTGAAGGGGACTTATATCCAGAATAATATCTTTGTTAGCAAATAGAAGGGCTTCTAACTGGGGGAACAGTAATGTGGGATTTTGCGGTAGATTTTTTATCAGACTGTATGTTATGTTTGAGGGAGACGAGGGGGATGGGCTTGTTTGGATGGGGCTGGTACAGTAGAAGGTGGCTGGCAGTACATTGCATCACAGGCACTTACACTCAGACACTGAACTTTTCTCTTTTTTGTAGTTATTGATGTTAGTCTTCTTGGTGGTGCAAAGAGCAAGGCTTCTCAAGGAACAAATGTATGCTTTGAGTGTGATATATCAAGTACAAGTACTAATTGTATACTTGTAATAGTTGTGAATGTGGTTTTGCTACTTGTGATCTACTACGTCAGTATTTATCCTGAGGAGTTTGATCCTGAAGTATGGTTATTGTTTTAGGTTTCTATTGGTATGGTTACAAGGAACACCCAAGTTCTGTTTGAAAGGGCAGAGGTATTTAAAGGAACATGAACTGAATATTAATTATTTCTAATTTGTTTTGAATTGTTATTTATTTCCNATAATGCATGTTATAAATGGTGTCAGATAAAAAGTAAAAGACAATCTGTAGTATTAAATTCACAATTAGATGCTGTCTCCTAACCAAGATGCTTACCAATTTGTGTTCTTTTTGCTTTGATATCTTCAATTATGTTCCTCATTTCGTTATGAAACAGGAATTCTCAAACATCATTAGAAGAGCTTTTGCCACTCGGTTATTTCCGCCAGAAGTTGTGGACAAGTTAGGCAAGTGTTCAGTTAATGCACATCATAAGGAACAGTCAGTTAATTTTGCATTCTACATGTACATACATGTATATTGTAGAATTGACTGTAAAAACTTGTGTATAAATGGTTATGCACCCATGTACATTGTACTTATTAACCAAAATGTAGCCCCCAATTTGCAGTTCAAAGTTACAGCATACATGTATACTTACATTGTAGACATACATGTAAATGGCATGATTAAAACTTACAATTAAGTGGTATTGTAGGTAGGCATATCCCAAATTTGGACCAGAGATTTTAGGTATTCTTTGTGAGCTCTTACTTTGACTCAATGGAAAGAAACATTATTGCTGATTTCCCAGAGGGACTGTTAACCTGTGAACAGATTTTCTAGTAGGGTAAATTATGGCAAATGATAATTGGCCAGCAGAGCCAGCTGAGTGCAGTCTGTTACCTACATGTCATGGGATTGGACTGGCCAATCCTTGGTGGAATGCAATGCAATGCACACCAGTGGCCAAGAGACAATTGAATGTACTGTAGTTTGAAGCTCTTAAGGTGAAACAGATGCCATCTCTCACCACAAGGGAAACTGTCAATGTTGTAATTGTAACGTTGTCTCTCCTTTGTTTTTTAGGACTTAGGCATGTCAAGGGAATTCTGCTATTTGGACCTCCAGGTATGCATGTTTAAACACAGTGTAACCTGAGAATTGAATACATGTACTGTACCTTTTAAACAGGGTTGATCCATATCGTGTTAACCTTGAGCTCTAACAGGAGTTTCATTAAGCTTTTCAACAGGAGGGCAACTGATTCTTCAAAGGGGGCCAGAACTAACTTCTTTATATATGTATGTGTAAGAAGAACTTTCCTCTAAATGGTAAAACCAGGCAAGCAAAATCATCCTCCCTGCTAGTCTTTTTGCCCAGTGTCCGGCCCTTAAAATGAAACCCCAGCTGGCTCTAATCAGTAATTACATGAAACCTTGGTGGACTAATAATGGAACATACTGGTTTGCTTAGGTACTGGAAAGACACTAATGGCCCGGCAGATTGGCAAGATGTTGAACACAAGGGAACCAAAGATAATCAGTGGACCAGGTAAAATTTACTTCACCATGTATAATATTTATGCTGTGTACCGATAAACATTACAGGATTGCTCGGAAATCTTTGACCAGCCTTATTGATTAACAAATTTTGTCCTTATCTGGGAAGGCAGATAATCAAAAGGCTGGGTTTGAGTGCCAGATATCAACATTGGGTTAGGTTCTTATCAAAAGCTTATTAAAAGTGTTTGCTCATAGTTTTGACCTTGACCATGGGCAAAACACAGCAGTTGTTTACTTTTGTTTAAATCACTACATGTAATCAATACAAATGTAGAAACGTTTCTGTTGGAAAATCAATCAATCAATCAAAAACTTTATTAAAGTATTTAAATTTAGCTTGCTGACAGAAACACCCCTCTACCAGTTGGGGGACGGTTAATTAAATTAGAAACCTAGTAGCTATAATCTAATAAATTATTTAAAAGCCTACTAACTATTTATTAACTGATGAGGTAATATAAACTGTTAAAAACTTAGCTAAGAAGAAGAAGAAGAAGAAGAAAAAACAAACTAAAAAAAATCATTGTGTTCACAGTTACAAAGGATGCAATTTGAACAATTGTCGTCTACAACACACCAACACACTTACATTTATGAATACAACTTTTCAAATGCTCAGTGATAGTATGGTGCTAATTTCGCCTGGTAGCAATTCATGCCTAGTGTATGAACGTAAAAACAATAGATCATAAACAGTCATGGACCTTCTAACATAAATCTTGCATTCTGGTTTTCTTCCTTGAAATTTGCTGGCCTTGATGACCATTCTCCTCTATAACTCTTGGATCCCATGTACAATGTAGTTGGTAGAGATAGTACCGGTACACTATTGCAAACTGTCCTAGAAACTGGTCTTACAGTGGTCTATCCTTGGAACACTATAAATTACAAGTACTCTGTTGTAACGTGATGGCTAATTTTTTTTTTCCAGAGGTGCTGAATAAATATGTTGGAGAGTCAGAAGCTAACATCAGGTCAGTAGCAAAAGAGTTTAGGATAGGAGTTCGTGAATTCTGTCTGTAGACAGATACATTTTCCCCTGCAGGAACACTTTGTATAGTATGTTAGTTGTGGAAGCCAAGTTCATCAGGCTGGTGCCTATCCCGGTTTCTGTAGCATGAAGCGATTAGGAGTACTTCTACTCCCCCCTGGATGGGATGCAAGTCCATCGCCGGGTTACCCCCAGCATTATATTCTCCGGTACCCATTTATACACCTGGGTGGAGAGAGGCACTGTAGGAGTAAAGTGTCTTGTCCAAGAACAGATCACAATGTCCCTGGCCAGGACCTCAACGTAAATTACTCAGTTTGAAGTCGAGTGCACTAACCATGAGGCCGCTGCACCTTCCACAAATAAGCCATTGAGACTGCACAGTAAGCTATGCACAGATATCTTTACACCAACAATTTGCCACAGTTTTTCTTGGGTTTGGCTTCTTAGTCATTTGATGAGTGCAACACTTGATGAATGGGTTCGAAGGCTCAATCTTTTTTTGTGTTCGTGGGCAAAACACTTTTCTCTCACAGTGATTCTCTCCACTCAGGTGTTTAATTGGATACAATGCAGGGGGGAACCCTCTGATGGACTAGCATCCCATCCATGGGTGGGAGTAGAAATACTTCTAGTCGTTTCATGCTTCGGAAACCAGGATAAGTTCCTCCTGTATGGGCCACTGGCCTGACGTAGGCTTAACCTTTACCTTATGCTTGATGAGTACTGGTACTGGTCATGATATACATGAAAAAATTACTCGATTCTGATTGGCTGAGAGCAGTGCAGTTCAAGTGTAACACCAGTGCAAATTACACATCGTAATTCTTGATTATGATTGGCTGAAAGACAATGGAAAATTTTCTAAGCCAATGATATCACGTAAAATGATGACGAAAATTTTGTGCCGAAGCGGCTCGTGCAATTTTAGCTTTCGGAAAAACTCACTCGTGCACATTAATTCCAAATTGAACTCCAAACCGGATGATTATCTACACCAAATGTCTTTTTGGGTCTTTGTAGTTAAACCTCATATGTGAAACGTCCTCCTGCCTCTCACATACAGATGCATGCAGAGACGACTAACATCAACTTCATGGTTTATGAGAAACTGCCCTGTAACGTTCTTTTATTGTTTTCCTTTGTAGAAAGTTATTTGCTGAAGCTGAGGAAGAACAGAAAAAGGTTTGGGTCGATATTAGTTGCTGTGAATTGAAAGCACGGAACCTTCTTTCCATAAACAGGGACGTTAATGATTCACATTTAAAGGAGCTACGACACGGTTTGCATATCTTGAAAAATTTAGTCTAAATTATTAAAGTTCCTCGTTCGTAATCCGTGTTAATCTTCTCCATCCTTAACCATCCTTGTTCCTTTGTGGTTTATTATTATCTCTTCTGTGTTTTTCTATCTTAGTTAACTATTATTTTCATCTTTCCTTCAATTTAAAGGCAATTTTGTTCGTGGCTAAAATAACTCCAAATGCCATAACTGAGGTCCTTTAACAATCCATCCTTTTGTGTGGTTTTGCTCTTTAGTTTGGAGATAATAGTGGACTCCACCTTATAATATTTGATGAGTTTGATGCAGTTTGCAAGTCAAGATATATGTACAATGTAAGTGAACATGTCACTAATACTATAAAGTTTAGTGATAGAACTTGTAACTATCTATACCTAATCGTATCTTTTTGGTACGCTTCAGTGGCATATCAGGTGAGTTTGATCTAGCCATGGATCGTACTTTGGGGAAACGAAGTCGAGCCTAAAAATTCAAGACGAGACCAAACGAGCTTGATACATTTGTATGCCGCCGAAGTGTTCCAAAAATGGTACAGTTAGGTTTTTACCGTATCCAAATTTAAAATGAAAAAAATTGCCCATATCAGGTCAGTGCCTTGATCAGGGCAGTAGACAAGGCTTCTGATTGGCCGGTACGATAAATTAAATAGTCAGCGATCATTCTCACACCCTCAGTAACTAAGTTATTTTTATCTTACAAATGATTTATCAGGTTTTCTCTGTTGTTCTCTTTCCAGTCTGGTGGTACTGGAGTACAAGATTCAGTTGTTAATCAACTTCTTGCCAAGGTGAGTAAATTGCATTTGTCCATTATTACGAACATGGAGGCTGGGGGAGTAGAAATACTCCTAGTTACCTTGTGCTACAGAAATCAGAGACAAGCGCCAGCCTGATGGGCCTCTTGGTTCGTGTGCAGACGTTATTACGAACAGCAGAAGGCTTTTGCTGTAAACTGTAGGAATTTGTGATAGTTGAGTGGGTTAAACAACGACCAATCATTACATTCTATAAAATAATCCGTCGGTTTAGGCTCTGACAGAGTTTAATAAATCGATTTTCAATTTGTCGTTTTTAGATTGATGGTGTGGAACAACTCAATAACGTGCTTTTAATTGGTAAGTCGTCGTGCAATATCCTTTGCATATTATCCTCAGTTTTTACACGTTGAGTTATGGCCGGTTTGCAGTGTCACGCCATCAAAAATAAAAATCGTGACCATTCAATAAATTAAGTCAAGAAGCTGGGATATGAAAGATGATTGACATGTAAACAGCCTCACCAAAATTTGGTACTTTGCGGTTTTTCATTCGCGCGTTATTCGGAAAAGTGTTTCACTCAAATTTAGAGAGCTTTGTATTTAGTCGCCATGTTTGCCTCTTATCGACAATGATACGCGTCATCACAGTGGTCAAAATGTTGTGGACTGACGAGGCGCAGCCGAGTGAGTTTACAACATTTTGACCACTGTGATGACGCGTATCGTTTTCGATAAGAATACAGACCACGCTAAACCACATTTCATTTTTTACCACGATATCAACGCCAAAGAAAATGTGTTTTTAGAGCACTAGCTGAAAAAGGCATTGCGTGACACATTGACGCGAGCAGCGTTGTCTGGACTCTTATCGACAACGGTAAATTAGCCAATCAGATTGGGAGACTCAGTAGTAGTAATTGAGGTGAAACTTACCTTTGCCCGTGTATGTACAACTGATGAGTGTTGTTTTATTCCTCAAGGCATGACAAACAGGAGGGATCTTATTGATGATGCCTTACTAAGACCTGGACGACTTGAAGTACAAGTTGAAATCGGTGAGAACTTTATGACCATCAGTCAAATGGAACAACCACTTGTGCGGATTCCCTAGGCGGGTGGGGGAG